GGACATAGAGTTACTATGCTTTCAAACCCCAAGACTAAGGAAAACAAAAATAATAATAGCTAAAAGGAGACAAAGGAAGAGAAAGAAGATAAGAGGGAAAGGGAAGGTGCATAGAGCTCAGCCTGCAAAGGAAAAAAAATGGAGAAAGGAAAGGCAAGGACAAGGCAAATGGAAGATAAAAAGGGACAAAAAGGAATGGAGGCATGATTTTTCCAAAAATATTGATGAGAAATTGGAAATAAACTACCATCTGCGCAAAGAAAAACAGCACATAGACATGCTACTTTGGAAAAAAAAAGTTACAGAATTATAGAAGGCAACTTAAAATATATAAGAGTTTTATATGTTTGGATTTTATTTGTGTAGGCGTAAAAATGACTAATAATTGACTAGACTGGAATTTACTAGAATATAATAGGGGATATGTATTTAAAGGTAGTGGAAGGAAAAGAATAGAGCACGGTAAAAGTGGTTATTAAAATTACATTGGTTTGTTTTGTACTGTGCTTAATGTGTTTCTGATTTATCTCAGTCTTATTTGTGTTTTTGGAAAGAAATAAATATATTGAAAGAAGTAGGAACTTTACAGAGTATAAAAATGAATTTAAGAGTGTTAGAATGATTTGATAAGGCTTGAAGGTATAACAATGACCTACAAAGGAAGGTATGGAATAATAGGACGTTTATTTATGGAACTACAATGTTAAGCATGAGAGGATATGAATTGTAAGGTGGTGGAAGAAACTGATTAGAACATGGTAAAAGAACCTACTAAAATTATTTTGATTATTAATGTCCTTAATATCTTTGCTTTATTTTTTGTCTTTGGTTTTTGATAGTTTTATATGGGTCTTTGTTCGGAATAAGTATTGGGCTCTTAAAGTATATAAGGAATTTAAGTGAAATGATTTGTAATAAGCATGGTAAAGTGAATATCCAGTGGTAAAATATCAATGAAATTTTAGGAAGTGGAAATAGTGTAAAAGTAAGAGAAAAATATAATGATCATAATGCTAACTGTCTAGGGTTAATTACAATTAGTATGGCAGATGTTTAGATAAAAAACTGATGAAATGACGAAATAATCTTGATAACAGGACTAAGAGTCTGGATGTTGATACTAATGTGAGTCTACTTAGTATCCTATCCCAAGAGAAGGCAAAATGTGATCTGGATAAGATTAACTTAAGGTTTATAGAAAGGAGAAAGAAGGAATTTTGTAAGTTAATATTATTGGATGTGTGTAATTGAAAAATATTATTTTTGGTGATTGTGTAGAAGGGAATTTTAAGAAGCTGGGTGGTAGTGTTGCTTGGTAGAAATGACTTGAAGTACAAGGAAACTATTGTAATATATTAATAACTATTGTTGGTGAATATGCATTATTGTGAAAATCTAATAAAAATATTTATTAAAAAAAAATTCTTCATCTTCTTTGTTATTTAATTTCTTTGTAATTTTGTCCATTTCTGCCACAAACCCGGTTCTCCCAGATTAGAGTCCACGCACTTAACCACTACACCAAACTGGCTGAGTTTGAGAGAGAGAGATTCCCCACCTCTCTGAGTTACAGCCTCTTCAGCAACCCTCAAGATTCAGACTGGTAGGCTGTGGTGCTTTTAGAGGAGACTGACGACAAGGGACATGTGGAAACCTCCAACAGTGGTGATGGAAGTCATGTCACAGCCAATTTATGTTAAGTGGAGTGTTCCTTCCAAGCTATGCGCGTGAGCGGCTGCCCATTTTAGAGAGCCAGTTTGGTGTAGTGGTTAAGTGCACGGACTCTAATCTGGGAGAACCGGGTTTGATTCCCCACTCCTCCACTTGCACCTGCTGATGTGACCTTGGGTCAGTCACAAGCTCTGGCACAGCTGTCCTTGAAAAAGAGCAGTTTGTGTCAGAGTTCTCTCAGCCCCACCCACCTCACAGGGTGTCTGTCGTGGGGAGGGGAAGGGAAAGGAGTTTGTAAGTGAAGGGCGGGGTATAAATCCAATCTCTCCTTCTTCTTCTCATTAACACAGGACGTCTGGAGCCACACAGGGTCTTGCATTGCCCAGTGCCCATTTTAAGATTACAGCAGTCAGGGCTATTTTG